TTATTTGTTACATTAACATTAAATTATTTGATACATTAACATTCTCTACTACACATTTACACAATAAAATATTCTCCACGAAAATCAATAAAATTTCTTTAAAATTTTTTGAGCCCCATTCCTTGAAAAAAATTCGTTCTTAAATAATGATTTGATATCATTTCAATTACATATTCTTCAATAAAATAATATTACACGAAAATTCAAAATTTTTCCTTATTTTTTAATCATATATTTCTCATCAATATACTATTCAAAAATTCATTCTTATAAAAAGAATGGGGCTCAAACAATGGCTTAATCATACATTCTCTAAAAAATACTATTCAAGACTCTATAATTTCTCACATAATGGAAGACAAACATGTTCTTAGTTTGTTCGTTATATTTTAATAACAATGGTCATCAATTCTTCTCTTATCGTCACAATTTTACCAAAAAAAAATTTGTTGCATTCTTATTTTTATCATTGAATTAATTAGCACATCTTGTCACTGATGATAATTTTTGTCTAAATGTTTTGTTCATATGCTTTGGAATGAGGGATAAATATATTTTTGTTATTTTTGCTTATTTAAATACACAGTGGTAAACAAGTATTTTATGTCCTAATGGATTTAATGCAACTAAAAAGTTGAGGACACAAGTGCGATAAGAACAAAGGTTGAAAGTCTTTAGTACAGTTAAAATATGGTGCAACAAATAAAAATAGTTGATATAATTCCTCATAAAATAATGCAATCGATGACCAATTGGGTCGCTGCTAAGCACCTACGTGCTACATAATATTATTTATTTATTATTATTAATTTGGTATCAAAATTTAATCACGTGAAAATATTTGACAAAGATTTTTGAGATTATGCGCTTTCACGTGTTGCTAAAAAGTGAACAAAAAGTTGCAAATCCAATGAAATATATACTTTAAAATGAAGTTTAGCCATTTTAACATCTAAAAAATTATACCAAACAAGAGCTTAGCAAGATGAAAATAATGCGGCAAATGTATATAACATTTTTTTTTTAATTTTTTTTGTTGGATTTTGATCTATGTTCGACAGTATTAGTGTGCTTCCATAGTGAAATTTGATGAAACTCTCAAAAAATTTTGATCTTAGATTAAATGCGAGTTGATATTTTAATATACTTAAATATGTAGAATACTCTCATATTCAATTTTTAGTAATTGTATAATAACTTATAAGCAAGGCAGATTGCCCATATATATAAACAGAAATGATCTTCTAAGTACCGATACTTAATTTATGTTAAGCACTGATTACATGATAACGTGACACATGCTTAACATAAGCTAGACACTGGTACTTAGGAGATCGTTACTCTTTGTATGTTTGCGCATGTATATTATGCCCACCATAAATTTATTCACTAATAAATCTATATGATACGTTATCGATGCTTAACCTAAGATGTTGTCTGCCGATAAATTAATATGATTCACTACAAATTCCATATTCCACACTAAAGTTAGACAAATTATGTCGGCTGCTCCAGAAAGAGTGCAAACCAGTCTAAAAGTGGCTTATATTGTAACCTAGGATGCATAAACAAAGTTACTACTTTCCTTTTTAAAAATATTTTAGGTTTTATTTACTACGCCTAAATAATTAATAACTAATTTAAAAGAGTTACGAGGAAGCTGAGGATCGTACATGAATATCATAAAATATTAATTAGACAAAAAAGTTTATTATTTATCGATTAAGTGGTAATTAAACAGTTTTAAAGAACCAATCTCATAATAAAAAACCCATTATGAAAATCATTTATCTTGATAACCACATATATTGCCTTTATTCATTTAGAAATAATGTGATGTCATATTTTCTTGTCTCGGCTTCATTTTAATTTTAATATTAACTATGCATTTTTTTATAAAATATATTACATATAAGACCAAAACTTTTTTTCTCCTTTTTAATTGCACATTCGAAAAAATTATTATTAGAAAATACATTTTTTCCAAAGTTATATTTTAATGGAGCCCAAACAAGGACTTAATGAAATATTAAGACGAGCAATAGATAGGACAATTTTGTATAAAATATATTAAGAGCTTATTTGACATGATTTTTGTTTTTGCTTTTTATAGAAGAATTTATTGAGTAAGCTACCTTAATTGGTATTTAAAAACTAATTTACTAAAATTGCTTTGTCTTTCCGAAGAACTTTTAGAGAAAGTCACATTGTGCCAACATTTTCTAAAAGGGTTTTTTTCCCCCTAACTAAAAGAAACACTTTTTTTTATAAAATTTATCAAACAGATCTAAAAGAAGTTTTCGTCTCAGAAGATCATTTTGGATTCTCAAAATCCATGCCAAACAAGCCATAATGTATCTATGGATCTTTATGATGCAAAGACTTGTGAGTTTGAGATTTATGTGTAACCACTACACTAGATTCAACCAAAAAAAAAAAAAAAAAAAAAAAAAAAGGAAAAACGTTGTTTTCTATGTATGACTGGCTTTGACTTCGTGCAAAGATTGTCGTTACTTGGGCTAGTGCTCTTGATATCCACTACACTAAAATAAATAAATAAATAAATAAATAATTAAAGTGGTTATGGATAAATTTGTGAAGCATGTTCGAGATGATGATGAAGAAGTGGTCAGTCATAACTTTAATGTACATAAAAATTTCTAGTTATCATGACAACTAACCATTACTTATCCTTTGATTTGAAAAGATTTTAATAAACCAATTTTAAACAATGAAAAATTTGGCGTACGTTTGATTGCGAACATGAAATTTGAATGGAAAAAAAAAAAAAAAAAAATTTAAGCAATTCACATGTCTGAAACTTATATGTATGTAAATTATTAATTAAATATGTTTGATTGATTTAGTTTTTAACCCAAAAAATATTATAGTTGTTCATCTTTTTATTGATGAGTAGATGAGAGAGTGGATGGATGTGAGAAAGAAAGAAAAAATAGTGAATTAATTACTTGAAAAATAAAAATCAGTATTTATTAAAGAAAAATGTTTTCCTTATTTTTGAGAATAATATGGTCAAATAGCCAAAAGTTTAAAAATATTTTTCATGGAAAATGTCAATCAAATACTTCAAAAGTAGGAATTTGGATACAAATGACATTTTTCATAAAAATATAGTCAATCAAACACCCTCTTAAGGTAGGTAAAATTCGTTTTCAACCGAATTTCTTGATAGAAAGTGATTGCTTGGGCTCGGCTGGAGCTTTTTTAAGGCAAGGTGTTTTTGCTCGAACCAAGCCAAGCAAAAGTTCAACAAAAAAATCAAGGCTCAACCCTAACTTTCGAGAATTGGTTTTTTCCCCCTCCTAGCTACCGGTTTAAGACAGTATTTAACTGCCTATTCTGCCGGTTGACGGCAGCAGATTGAATTTTAATTTTTTTGGCTGTCCTTTTCTCTTTTTTTAAAGGGGGCCACCTAGCTCGAGTTGACTTCCAAAATGGGGCTCGGTGCCTCTGAGCCTCAGTCGGGCCGACTCAAGCTTTTTTCGAGCTGAGTCACGGACAGTCCAAGTTGGCCAGCCCGATTGTCTTCCCTAATAGAAAGGGATTGTTTCGATTTGGTCCCTATAATTAAAGTTTTTTTTTCTTGCTCAAACATAGTCAGACAGAGTTATCAAGTGTGTAAGTCTCTTTGATATTCTTGCTTATTTTGATTATTCTCGATACATAAGAAAGGGTTTGGACATTAGTAAGTACCTATTTGGTGTAGCTAAAAATTAAATTTTTAATAGATTTTGATAAAAGTTGACAAAATGTCTAATTAAAAAGTCGTGAATTTTATAAAAATTTTAGTTAAAGTTAATTATTGAATTGATTTATATTTCTATCAAAAATTTATATTCATACCAAGCATGAACTAAATATGGTACTGTAAAAATGCATTAAAAAAAAAAACTCATTACCTCTATGTTGACGAGTCGGCTCGGCTAGCTTCAAAATACGAGCTCGAGCCAAACAGTTGAGTTGACGAACCGCTCAACTCGATTGCCACCTCTAAATCTTCCCATTTCATGCATCATGGTACAAATCCCACCTAAAACGCTATTCAATATGGGTTTGTAATAGAAAAAAAATTATCATCTATTCTCTTTTAATAAGTTAATTTCTAATGTTTACATGTCAAACATGTACTATCAATTGAGATCAAATTTGATTGAGTAATGCTATGTAATCTCACTGGATTACAATCCCAATTTAAGTGGCCTAGATGATAGATTAAATGAAAGGTGAAATTAAATGACTTATTTAATTCCACATATCATTTAAAGTGATATTAACACCACCTAAATTGGAGTGGTAATTCGAATGGGGCTAAATAGTATTAACCAATTTGATTGAACAATGCTATTTAATCTCACTAGATTTGCAACTTCAATCTAAATAGCACTAATGTGATATTAAATAATATGTGAAATTAAATAAATTATTGAATTTCACTTTTCATTCACTTTATCCTTTAGTACTATCTAAATTGGGATTACAATTCTACTGAAATTATATCGCATTGGTCAATTTGATTTTTTGAGGACTTAGGTCTTGGGGATGGTGACATCATATTGAAATGTCAAATCCAATCACATAATTCCCGTCCCATTTATCACTTTAATTTTTAAAATTTATTAAGCTACTTCAACCTCCACCGCCTAAATTTCTCTACTATTATATTCTCTTCTCACATCCCTCTCATGCAAACTCCCTCACAGCCATACTGAAAACCATTTTAAAATAATAAATTAATGGAGAATAAGAAAAAAATTTAATTTACGTATAATATTATTTTAATAAAAAATGTGTGATTAAAAATAAAGAGGGGAAAAATATATTTTGAGAAAAATGGAAATGAAACGGGCCTTTAATTATTATCCATACACGTGTCATCACATCATTCCACCTTCTCAATATTCAATATCATAACCGTTGATTTTCATATAACTATGGTTAAATAAACCTTAACCATGGTTGTACCACTTCTTCTAGCAGTTTATAAAGAAACTGAACCCTCCCTGATAATCTAGAAAATTCTACAACTGAAAAAATGATGATGGGAGAAATGAACCGTCCGAGTCCGACCGTTCATGTTCCTCCATGGTCATTCACACCAGAGAATCACACCTTCTCTTTGAGCCCTAAGGCCAATGCTAATGGCGGCGTCGATGACTACTCTGTTTTCTTCCAGAACGATTCTATATCGGCGTTGAAGGCGTATTTACAGTCCTGCTCTCCGGATATTGAGAACGGAAACGGGGATTTTCCGGTGGACGCGCAATCTTGTGATCATTTTCGGATGTTCGAGTTTAAGGTGAGGAAGTGCACTCGTGGTCGATCGCATGACTGGACGGAGTGTCCTTATGCGCATCCGGGTGAGAAGGCTCGCCGCCGTGATCCGAGGAAGTTTCACTATTCGGGCACGGCATGTCCTGAGTTTCGTAAAGGGAGTTGTAGAAAAAGTGATGGTTGTGAGTTCGCACACGGCGTATTCGAGTGTTGGCTTCACCCGGCGCGCTATCGTACTCAGCCATGCAAAGATGGGATGAACTGTAAGAGAAGGGTTTGTTTCTTTGCTCACTCGCCCGATCAGTTACGAGTTCTGAGTCCGCAGGCCGAGTCGTATGACGTCAATTCGCCCCACCGACTCGCTTTTAGGTCATCTTCAGATTCTGGGTCGCCGGCGACTGAATCGCCGCCTATATCTCCGATGACTAACTCGGCTAGCAAGCTGAGTCGGTCTCTGGGTTCTGGCTCCATCAACGAAATGGCGGCTTCACTAAGCAAGCTGCAGTTGAATCATATGAATTCTATGCCATCCCCTTTGAATCGTCAGGTGGGGCTCTCTTTCCCCATGAGCCGACCTGGGTACTTTAGCCTGCCCACGACTCCGACTCAGGCCGTTTCGCGACCAGGGATGGGATACTTCGATGCGTGGGACGAGAACTATGTGTCTGAGGAGCCAATGATGGAGAGGGTCGAATCGGGCAGGGACTTGAGGGCGAAGATGTTCGAGAAATTGAGCAAGGAGAATCCTCTGGACCGAGATGCTCCGAACCCGAATCCAAATCCAAAGCCTTCCGATTCCCCAAACCCAGATGTGGAATGGATCTCGGAGCTGGTAAATTAATATATTTTCATTTTCGAAGCAATTGCTCGTGATGATTTATTGCAATTATGGAGGTTAATTTTTGGTGAAGATTTTGTAAATATTAAATTATATAATTTAGTCCTATGAAGAAATTGAATAGAACTTGATGATTATGGTGAAGAGTGTATGTTGAATCTCTCCTTCTGGGGCACAAATTTTCTGAAAATTATAACAATTTGAAAGTTTCTTGTGTATATAAGATGATGTGCCACCTGAGGAAGAGAGATGTAGCAGAAGAAGATTGAAGTATGTATTTTTCTGTGTTGCATATGTAAAGAGTATTTCAGAAAATATAATGGTTCTTCAGTTGGGTGGGGCATATGTTTGTATTGCAATGGAAGATATTAATATTAATAATTAATTTACATTGCCGTACTTGATTTCTTGGTTTCGCAATTCATTTTTTAGCATTTTGATCATCAACTCCTGGTGTTTGTCGAGAAGATTGTAATGAAATGTTTGTTATTTACATCGTACACTGAACAGGACAAAGGAAAAAAAAAAAAAAAGAGTTAAAATTCTGTGTTGTACAACAATTTGAGTCTTGAAGTGCCAAACATGCTTTAAAACGTGCGAATCGAGCCAGAACAACGTGGTTATGGGCTGGCTCGGGAAAGTTTGGATCGATCGTCGATTTCGTGTTCTTACGCTTTTGCGGGCATTTTTCTACATTATAGCTTGATGGTTGGATTTATATCGAATGTTCATTAAGGTAACAAGAACTTGTTGGTGACATATGATGAATAGAGAGCAACATCAATGGAAGCTCGAGAAAACATGATTAATGCAACTTATTATCTACATCAATCGATAAGTTATGTGGTAAAATTATATTGCAATAATCAATTAGCTATTTCCATAGCAGAGAACTCAATGTGACACGACAATCAGATAAGTCGAAGTGCATTACCACTTCATTAGAGAAAATGTGCTTAACGGAGATATGGACTTGAAGCATGTTAATATCGAAGAATAAGTGGCGGATTGTTCTCAATGTGTCACACAACAATTAAATAAGTCAAAGTGAATTATCACTTCATTAGAGATAATGTGCTTAATGGAGATATGGACTTGAAGCATGTTAGTATCGAAGAAT